TAAGTAGCAAGGAGAATGAGGAGAAGAGGAAGCATTCCAATAATCTTCAAATTTAAGGCTTGTATTTTGATTAACCTTGTAATTTTTCTCTTTTGTTGTGATTTTGTGATRGTATTCTCTTCATCTCTTTTCTTCAGCACCTGTTAAAAAGGCAAATAATTTTCTTAKACTGTTGCACTAGAGAATGGGATTTTAAAGGTGGGATAAGGGAATTGAAATTGTATGATATGAAAAAAAATCATGCTTGCCTCACACTTTCTTTCTTTCTTTCACAACTGACTGATTACCTGAAAGTTGTACTCTAATTTTTCTTGGTTCAGTTGGTAGGTAGCTTTCATTTGTTGCAGCTGCTGTTCCAAAATCTGAAATAATTAAGAAGAAAATGTTCAATTACAGCAAATACAGTAGGTTAGTGATAATTATCATAACCAATCAATGCGTGCTGCAAATTAGGAGTTGAATCTGTCATTTTCACTCTACCAGTGGCTGTATGAAAGAAATTCATCCTCACACTCTAGAAACTTAAACACATGACACATGATAAGTTCATGCAAATCCTGAAATGTTCTTAAAATGGGTTTTGCACATCCCTCCCCCATCCCCCAAAGGCAAAATCGTGCCCTCAAATAGTGTACATGTATAGTATTATTATGGTGATGGATGTAAAGTCAATTATCTGGTGAAAATATTTTGAGCATTAAACATTATAATAATGTTAGAAGATATTTACCTGGACATCTGTCTCCAATTTGATCTTTACCATGTTATATTCTTCAGCATCTTGTATTCTTAGAGTCTGCAGTTGGTTTTCATAATCTTCAACTCTCTTGCGTCGTGATTCCATGTATTCAATCTGAAACAAATGAAAGGAATCATTTCACATTGTCAAACTAAAAATTCAAGAAGTGAACAGACTGATTGCTTAATAATGATTCATAAGGACTTATCAATGGGAACTCTTTTTTGACTTATAAACTCAAAATTCACATTCCAAAGGTCATTCAGTGCAATGACTTATAAGAGTTAAAAATCTTATAATTTCCAACACTTATTTCTTTACCTCTTTATCACGCCTCTGCTGCATTGAAGTTTCCCATTTCTTTTTGTTAGCATCCAAAAGTTCTGCTCTTTCTGTTACAAATGCTTTCTATAAAAAATAAAGTGTTCATTGTTTATACGTCAAGATGCTGAAACAAAATATTGTTAAAAACTGTAATAACAATGTAGGGCAAAAATTCATCTTGTGTAACACCACCTTTATATGGGAGGATACATACACTTTTCTGATCATCATTCATGTCCAAAAACAATGGTCATGAAAATTATTTTGTATATTTAAAAAGAAGTAAAGCATGAGCTTAGTTGAGTTGTGTAATGTGCTTGTGGATTGAAATGCTACTCATACAAGAAGTGTTGTATAAAACACTGTCACATTCAGCCATCAGTCAGGATTCTCCTAAACAATTGTCTAATATTGTGTTATGCCAACCCCTTCATGTTTTATAACTGCCGACAGTGACAAATGCCCATTTTCTATTTCTTCAATAAATATAGTACCTCTATTTGAGTGAGTTCTTCTCTGTAAGCCTTGGTAAGTTGTTTTATTTGTTCTTCCTCTCTTTCAATGATGAGATCAATGTCTTCAGCCTGCAATGTTGTAAAATGCATGTAAAAGGTAAACTAAGTTAAATCATTGTACTTTGAAACAAGCAAGAGTGGTATAATTATCCACTCAAAATTGTGTGAATCTACCCCCAATGATCATCATGATGGGTATCCYAGTGTGGCATCAAAGGAGCTCATTTTGGAGGACAAAACAAAAGAATTTCARTCTCCTGAGGATTGGAAACCTATGATTGTTCAGGTTGTTCAGTCCATGCTGACTGCAAGTTACTGGGGGTCTATATGGTGTAAAGCTAAAGCTAAACAGAACAGATAGAAGTCATAATAGACATGGAGATCCTGAGGCATGAACCATGGACATCCAGCTCAAAGAAGGCCCCACGCTTACTCTACCACCTGCTTTAATTGTCCTAGCTACCAAATTCTGCTGTAAGATTAATATAATTTATTAACAAGCTTATGATCATCATATGCATAGCAACTCACAGCTTTCTTGAGGTCCTTCACATACTGATCATCTTTGCCTTTCAACTCCTGGGGGAAAATAGATTGGTAATTATGTGACTGCGTAGGACTAATTAACTCTCAAATTTTATCGTTACCCTGAAACATGCTCAGAGCTGAACAAAGCTAAGACACATGCAGCTACAGTGTAACTCTTTAATGGATTTGAATTCAGCTTTTAGGCCTTGCAGAAGGAGTAAAAAGGATTAACCATTTCAGGATTCTTGGTAACAGAATAGAATTAGTCATTCAAAACCCTGTTAGTACTCAATCCTAGGTTAACTCTAAAGTTATACCTATACTGACAGAGTTAACCCTAGTAGTACTAATCAGACTTAGAACAACCAGGTCCAGGGTAACATTAGATTTCTCACCATCCTACAAAATTTGCTCTTTTTGAATAATATATTAGACTTGCGATAACATTGAGCACTAGGAAACACACCTGTTGAAAGTCATTGATTAGTTTGTCTTTTTCTTCTATCATTGCATCACTGGCAGTCTTCTGTTCCATTAGCATCTGATACAAAAAAACAATATTAAAAACAATATTAAAACCATGATAATATTATAATAATGATGTCAAGTATCAAGGGYTGCATGGATGGTGGAAAAAAAAGAAAGCAAATAATTAATACTAACCGTATGAAGATCTTGTGGAATCTCTTTAGATAAAGCATATTCCCATTTCTTRGTTATCTGTATAAGAAACACACRACAACATATTTATCAAGACAGGTTGGTTATAAATCTCGCTTTCCGATTGGTTGAGAGCATATTCATGTGTCTTCTGATGTGCAACAGTTAAACAAATATATTAATGATACCCTTGGAAACAAAACATGGTCTGAAATGGGAAAAAAGTGAATTAGCTCTTTAGCTGGGTATACCCTTTAGAGTGGCTTTACACCAACCATGTTGAAGGGCAGGAACAATGAAATATTTTTGCATGACAAAATATTTCATTTCCCAAAGAAGAACATTTGTTTTGTTTTGTCGTTAAGGACATAGTGGCTGCATATACCACTCTATCATGACCCATGAAGAAGTTTATAAAGAAATCATTGACAGGTATATATATTATTACATATATAATTATATACCTCTTCAAACTTTTCAGCAGCTGAYTTGGCTTCTGCTTCAAGTTTCTCATTTCTGTATGGGAAAATTATTTATGAGTGAGTATCACTATAACTAAAGCAAAAGTGAGTCCTACTTTTGAGGTCGTGTTGCATGTAATATGGAAATGTGTTTGTGGAACTGTGTCTTTGGAACTATCTGGGATTTCTATTTACTTATTTTTTATTGAACCATGATTCAATGTGTATGCTGTCACCTTTGTCTCCTTGCTTCCTCTTCTTCTAGTCTTCTCATTGATTCCCTGGCATCTGCTGCTACTGAAACATTTGTCACAAGTTCTGTGCCATCTGTCTTTAGCTTCAGCAAACGCTAGAAGTTAAATGAAAAGTATCAATCTAGCAATCACTCACATGGTTTCATTCACATACATCCATAGAGCAGTTTACTTATGAATGTGAAAAATGTATGGCAGGAACATTGCCATGGCAATTGGCACAATATGCCAGATGAACATTAGTTGAGAATTTATTCTCCATCAAATCAAATACCTGGAATATGGCACAAACAGAGCATGGACATGGACACTCCAAGTTCATGGCACTGCCAGAACAATCACATGCATTGCGCGAAAAACAATATAGCCAATTAAAATCCTAGAAAACATCAGGGTCATAGTGTGGTACACTTACAGCACTGAGCTTTTCACAGCAATGCTCAATGAGAACAGCTGGATTGTTGACAATTACAATAGCATTGACAGGCCAGCATGCTTTAACCAGCATGCTGTCAGCAATCACAATAGGTAGTGAAACCTCTACAATATAGTCTACCCTTACAGGGCTTTCAGAATGTTTTGGAGAAAGTGGTCATAAGTCTAGCTGGCTGTGATGCAATACAAGGAACAGAAGGTATTTTATAGAAAAGAAAAAGTAGCCAGCACTTAATATAGTTCTAAACAATTGCCGAAGCTCTGTCAGCCTCTAGCTAATTCTGAAAGCCATGCCTCAAGACCTGACCAATGAGCTGATCATTACTTTGAATTGATATCAGATAAAGTACACAGTAATAGTTATTGTACAGTGGTACACATGAATTGGTACATAATTTTGAGATTGAGAAGCCAAGATTCAGTAATTTTCTGTGACTTTTCTAGATAATTTGATGTTGGTTTTCAATTATTCCCATGAGAGTGAAATAACAAAAGACACAGCAGCCATGTTGGATGATATATCAAAAGAGACTAATGAAAAATCTTTTGCTAAATTCATCCCACGTGACAGCTGTGAAAAACATCCATTATTCAGGAAAACATATATTTCTTAAGATCATTGAAAATAAAGTTTTAAGTAGCATTTAAGTCACCATATAATTTGCTCCCATCATCTCTTACACGCCCGACATACCTGTCTGCTATCTTCCATTTGTTTTCTACTTTTTAATGCATCTTTTTCTGAATCCACTGGTTTCTTTTGGCTGGTATCTTCCCCACTAGCTTGCCTAAAAAATAAAGAAATATCAAGCGCTTTAATAGATTTATACATTTAGATGGAGTTGCAAAACCTTCCCTGTTTCCCGGGTCGTGGTTTGTGAGCAAAAAATAAAAGCGAATGAGAGATAAAAATGACATGAAATAAAGAAATAAGACGAGGTAAAGCTTGGATCATAAAAGATCTTACCTTCTTGCTGCCTCCAATCGTCGTTGTATACGAAGCCTTCGAGCAGCGATCCGTTCTTCAGCCACCGCTGAATCAACAGAAGGACCTTCATCTTCTTCTTCTTCGTGAGAATTCATCGTAAAAAAGCTTAAGGATCGAGCTATAGAGAGGAAAAATCAGCCTTTTTATTTTTTACTTTAGTATTTTTTTCTCTGTTTTTGTTTTTTTGGTTGCTAATGAGGCTATGGTTACTAAGCATGTAGCCCGTGGTACTCGTGCACAGCGGTTGTTTCCACAGGTAGCCCATGACGAGAAAGTTAACTTTGGATGGAAAGGAAAAAGTTCAAAATACGAAGGTGGGAAAGATGACAAAGGCCACAAAATAAAAAGTTTTAYTTGTGAATTTGATTTTGCGCCATGGCGCAACAAGATTAAATATCCCGATTTTCTCTGTCAGAATCACTGAAATARTGAAATAGTACCCAGAAGTCTTCACAGCAYCACTCAAAAGTTCTTTGCGGTCAAAAGATGTTCCAAGTGCAGTAAGGGATGTTCTTGTCAGTAAACTTTGCCAGTGAAGATAGGAAAGTATAGGTCTACTTTTATACGGCAGCTCAATCCACCATACGATAACACAAACGAAACTTAAAAACTCGWACCGAACCTTTTTATGCTTTCTAAAATCGTTTATAACTAGCATTATTGAATTAAATTATGTAAAAAATTGAAAGAAATTTTTTCCAGAACTTTTTTCCGAATACTACTGATGCGGTTTCTCAAGCATGTTAAGGCCTGGGTTATGCACCAACTCTCTATAAGACCATTAAAAAATAATTTCTCTGGTGTTTCTGCTTATAGCATAACCAGCTTTCTCAAACTTTCTTAGATCGTAGATCTTTACAAGTTGGTTGCAATAAAATAGACGGAGAAAACGACGTTACTGACGTTGCTAAGTTTTAATATACTCTCCATCTTGAAATACACAAGAATCTTGACCTGACTTTGACCTGACTAAGACTTGTCGTGTCTGACGAAATAAATATATTTATTCATTTTATTTCTACGCGCTGGACGACTTCAACAAACTGCTCTGTGTGCCTCGGAGAGGTTGACGGTACAAGCTGTCGTTTAAWGCCGTCTGCCCAAAGGTGGGCGTTGGCCAAGTCCACAAAAAAGTTCCCAACTCAAGCTCCTTTCCATCAAGAGCTCTCAGAATTCCCTTGAATTTAAAATAATTCTAGGTCTTCTAGGGGTCAAAACAATGAATAAAACCATCTACATATGATTCGAAAACAATTTCAAGTCATCCATGATGCCAAAAAAATGATGCCAAATATGGGAGAAAATGCTTACCAAATATGGTAACAGAAATGACGAATCGACTGACGTAACAATTAGCATAGCACACAAGTGCGCGCTCAGAAGTGAAACTTAAATCATTTGAACTAATCAGTTTAAAGAGTTGTGAACAAAAAAATATTGTAAAGAAAATTTTCAAGAAAAGAAACTAATTTGTCATGGGTTGCTGTATTTCAAAAGAAGGTGATTAAAACATTTTTCGCCGCGATTACTTTTTCTAAAAAGCGAGCCTAAACAGTTTTAACTCTTAGTTAAAAACTTTAGTTTTATTCAAGAGCTAATTTCCAGACTAAACTTTTTAAAACTTAATTTTTAGACGAAAAAAAGGAACGAATTGAACAGGGTGACAAAGTCATGACGGTAAGTTTTGATATTTTATCGCACATAAAAGATAGATCTTTCTCTGTCTAAGGTTTCGCACTACTTGCGCATCCAATATTTTTAAAGGCTACAGTATAAAAAGAGATAAGTTCGAAAATATTCTTGAGGTACATGAGATGCCATGCTGCTATGTGTGCTGGAACAAAAGAATTGGTCTTGTTGGTTGTTGTTGTTGTTGTTGTTGCAGCTGCTTCTTCTGCTGCTTCTGCTGCTGTTGCTGCTTCTGCTGCTTCTTCTTCTGCTGCTGTTGTTGTTGTTGTTGTTGTTGTTGTGTCATGAACCAACATGACGGCCACGTCTTTTGTCCATTTATTCTTATTGGAAAGGGGATGCGCATCATGTATTGTGCAGCTAGATAAGGTACTTTTCTTCTTATCCCTTTCCCCTTAAAGACAATATTTACAGTATTGATTCTACATGGGGTAAAATGTTGAATAACCCGGAAAAAATTTCATAGTTTGAGTGCATTAGCATATGGCATAGTAGAATAACCTTTATAACTTCAAGAAGCCGCACTCACACTATAATTTTTTCCCGGGTTATTCAACGACTTATACCCTATGTAAAATCAATACTAAGAATATTGTCAGAATGGTGATAGGCACTTTTCATTTAGTTAGACTATGTGTAGAACTGACTCTCCTGATTTTAATTGGTTTGTTTTTACGGTATAATATTTCCTTTCAGGTCCATCATATTAAGATTCCCTCTAAGACGACTGCATCGAAGCCACAGTCAACCAGCTCACAGAGCTTCAAAGATAACGCAAGCCAGGATAGGTAAATATGAAACAACCTTAACGTAGTAACACTTTGTAAATTGACATGATCATGACTAATTGTCACAAATAAACCTTTTTTTATGAGCAAACGGTAGCTATGTGTGCAATTTTACTAGATCTAATGGACATGTCGTCGTTTCTTTAATATTTATTTTAATTACTCTATTGGAACAGGTTTTGCTGCATGCGCGCGTCGAAGGCGAAGTCGTATACGAGTTATAAATATATTTGTGCAAGAAGGGGAAAGCCATCGCGCAAAGACTACTGGAATGGGGGAAATGAGCACCGGAGGAGTTATTAAAAGATACGAAAATTTTTATCATCTTTATTTATTGTTTTTATTCTCAATAATAGACCTGAGGCAGCGTTCGTCCCAAGACCTCCCTCAGGACAAAAGCCTTCATCAAGTTCCTTTAGAAGACGTTCTGGGGTTCGACTGTCTGCTGCTCTAAGCTGTGATTTCCTGAAAGGAAACCATATTCCTCGACCACCTTCAGTTAAAAGAACACTCTCTTCGCCTATTAGAAGAAGTTCTGGGGTGCGCCTAGCCAGCCTAAACTCCAACAGCGCTGAAACTGCGGTGAATAAATGTCATCCAACGACTCCAGAAGTGATTGACGCACCTCTAAGCAGCTCAGAAGCGGAAGTGTTTTCCAGACCCGCTGAAGCTTTGCGAGATGAGCCGGAATCTTTATCAAATGTGACAGAACCTTTGTGTCCAGAAATTGAATCGCACTCTGACACAGCATGCGGGCCACAGATGACGGGCCAAGAGAAGCATATTATTGGTGATGGTGATGTTGTAGCTCTTGGGAAAGGATCAAATGACTTGTTTCAAAACAGCTTTGAGCCTAAAGCTGCACCAAGCCCTTTGATAGTTGATACTAATGCTGACGATCCTCTAAAGAGTAACGGTAAAGAGAGATCGTTCATAATCGACCTTGAAATACAGAAAACGGCTTCCTTTCTTGCTGCGCAAGCTATCAGGGAGTCTTTGTCAGAGGAGACAGCCATTCTGCTTGATAGAGAAAGCCATATGCAAGTTTCTGAAGCAACGACTACTGCTGCCATTCAAGATCCACTAAAAAGTGACAAAGGCAAGTTTGCGTCCCTCAATGAATTTGAAATAAAGAAAGATGCTTCCTTTCTTGCAGCTCAAGCTATCATGGCATCTATGCCCGTCGAGACTACGTCTAATGTGCTTGATACGGAAAGTCATGTGGAAGCTGTAGACGACAAAGATATACCAATTGCAAGCCTTTTGAGGAACTCAACTTCTGCTACTGATGCTAAGGAATCACTAAAAAGTGACAAAAGCAGCTCAATGTCTATAACCGAGCTTGAGATACAAAAAGCAGCTTCCCTCCTTGCTGCTCAGGCCATCAGGGCATCTTTGYCGGAAGAGGAAGCCGTTCTGCTTGATACAAAAAGTGATATCCAAGATTCTGAAACAGTACAGAATAAAGATTTGGAGTTAAATGTATTGCCCCCTGCACGACCAGATATTGCCTTTGTTGAAGGAACTGGGGAAGGAGCCAGTGAAAGTGAGGTCAAATATGAAAGTATTCAACCTGACACAGAGGAAAATACAAGTAACAAGAGAGTAGGGGAACTACGAGAGAACAAAAGTGCAGAATTAGACGTTCAGGAGACTGAAATGAATACAGGAATACCTCATGCTGCCRATTTAGATAAAGATGCGCATCGAGAGCAAGAAAATGTGACTGGAAAACCGAGTGTAAAGGTGGACTTCAATGTAAAGGAAATGGAGAGACAAGAATCTAATAAAGAATTAATAATAAGAGGAACGGCAATATCCATCCCAAAGGTTAGTAATGAACAGAAACCCTGCATGAGAAGAAAACCCTGTACTTTAATCGTCTGATGTATAAACCTTTTATTTCGTGCAGCTAGTGTTTGTATACCATGAAATTTCTGATTTGAGGTACTAAACTGATGTATCTTTTAGATAGCATCAAGGAAGACATAATGCAATAGCGCTAAGATATAAGGGATTGTTACTTTAAAAATGATTTGACTACTGAAAGGCCTTTTTCATGGGAATCTTTAACTTCAAAAACAATATGTATGCACCGTCAACTGATGCCGGCAATTTCAGGGGTGAATCTGGAGAAAATTTCGAAAATGGTGGATAAACCTATACTAGAAGTCTTGGCAA